GCATCATATCACCCCTTTAAAAATATTGTACTGTAATATAAATTAAATGTGTTTAGCTATGCTGTTCATGTTTAAACATTTTCCCCACCCATGTGGTTTTAGTTATGCTAGCACAAAAGACCTTACAAATGGAAAGAAAGTTGTCAGATTTGCTTGAAAGGTTATTTCAGAATAATGTGCACACAGATTCAAATCAAGCAGCTTTCTATCCTGAATATGTTGCAAAATCTGCATGTGGAAATCTTTTGCTCTTACACAAAGTTGATCGTGTGAATTCCTATTGAAATGGATGAATTTCGCCTGTGAAAATTTGCCAAACTACAATGAAGGTGATCACACCTTTACATTCCAAGGTGATGGACTTTTTGACAGAAGAAAGCAGTATTTCAGATAGAAGACTCCATTTAGACAGAAGCAACAGTTTGAAACACTACCAGTTTAAAAACCTCTTAATGATGGGTTTTGTTTCTTACAAACTGCAGCTTTTCTCTTCACAAGACATTAACTGATGGACTGGAGTGGTGTGGATTGCTTGTGGATTATTGGGATGTTTTTATCAGCTGTTTGGACTCTCATTCTGACGGCACCCATTCACTGCAGAGGATCCATTGCTGAGCAAGTGATGCGATGCTACATTTCTCCAAATCTGATGAAAAAACAATATCTTGGATGGCCTGAGTAGATTCCCAGCTTGTTTTTGTGTGAATTAGCCTATTGCTTTAATAAACACATACACAAAGGGGTGGAGCGAATGTAGAACTTTATGAATGAAAAAACACTTTTTGCAGAGTTGAAACCTGACATTTTGAATAATGTTCACTGATGAATTGTGCACAATAAGGTTTCATGATCACAATATCAGTAATAGTGTATCTGACATGCAGCTGAGCCTCTATTATCCTCATGCTGTCAGAAAGTAATTGAATATGATAAAGCTTCTTTACTCTTGTGCCAGCAGCAGGTCACATTTCAGTCCTGTCTGAAATTGGATGACACAATGTCAAATTCAGCCCATGCTATCTCAACTGTAATCACACACACGGCTTTAAAACTATATAGAGTTTGGTGTCACTGTGCTGCTGTTCATATTAAGTGCTTTAACTGAAGTATAAATCTGAGATGAAATTGAATATGAAGTTGAAGGTATGTGAGTACAATCATCCTCTGTGTAGATGGGACAATAAATCATGATCGAGCCATGCTCCATTATGATTGGAGGGACTGCTGGTTATACAATGTGCAGGATATAAGATGATAATGGAATTCAGTTTCACCGTGTGTGAGGAAACAGATAGGAAACATTAGCGTGCTGGATTATATGTGAGCAAACTCCAGCTGAAAAATAAATAAAAGCTTTTCAACTGAGAAATAACAGTGCTTATATTATAAAAGAGCTTAACTGCTTTTTATATTGAAACTGTAATTGTTCCATAAAACATACAGTGGGTAAATCTCACAAAATGTCAAATTTCACCACAAAATTTAAGTGGAGGTGTCTTGATTGCTCTGCTCTTTGTGACACTGACTGACTGATTGTACATTATGCTGCTTATTACATAGCTAAAATAAATAAAAAAATGAACATGGATTTTTGAGTTATTGTATTACTGTATGTGAAAAATCAGCGAAGAGTGTTTAAAAGATATAAAACTAGCATAGCTATGTTATAAATAGATGGTTTTTGAACACAGGATGTCACGATTAACCGATCGGAATTTTTTAAGATTAAATAAAAAATGAAATGAAATATTAAATTGGCTGATCAAGTCAAAAGTGTGAGCACGCAAACTCGTGACCAGACCAGCATGGGATGTGCAGACTGACTTGAGGGGAATATCTGGAATTCTGTGGAACTGATTTAAATGTTTTAAAATTACACAGAGCTGATAATATTTAGGGGCAATTTTGTTTAAATTTTGTAGGCAAAAATAATCATTGTCTATTGTCAATAATGTAGTGATGTATGAATCACAGCTCACACACAGCTCATCTTGAACCCGTCGCAAAATCTGTGTGGAAATCTTCCGCCCTCACGTAAGGATTTCTATTAAAATGACTGTGAAAATTTGTCGAACAACGGTAAATGTGACTGCACATTTATACTCTTATTGGTATTGGTCAGGGCATACAGTGGTGTGAAAAAGTGTTGGTCCCTTCCTGATTTCTTATTTTTTTGCATGTTTGTCACACTTTAATGTTTCAGATCATCAAACAAATTTAAATATTAGTAAAAGATAACACAAGTGAACACAACATGCAGTTTTTAAATGAAGGTTTTTATTATTAAGGGAAAACAAAATCCAAAACTACATGGCCCTGTGTGAAAAAGTGTTTGCCCCCTAAACCTAATAACTGGTTGGGCCACCCTTAGCAGTAACAACTGCAATCAAGCGTTTGTGATAACTTACAATGAGTCTGTTATAGCGCTGTGGAGGAATTTTGGTCCACTCATCTATGCAGAATTGTTGTACTTCAGCCACATTGGAGGGTTTTCGAGGATGAACTGCCTTTTTAAGGTCATGACACAGCATCTCAATAGGATTCAGGTCAGGACTTTGACTAAGCCACTCAAGTCTTCATTTTGTTTTTCTTCAGCCACACAGAGGTGGTCTTGCTGGTGTGCTTTGGATCATTGTCCTGCTGCAGAACCCAAGTTCGCTTCAGCTTGAGGTCACGACTTTGACTAAATAGAGTTTCAAATTGCCAAAGCTTTCTGCAGACATCTGTGTCTTCAGATTGTGTGTGGGTCATCTTATGACATAAATACGAAGTGTTTTGGCACTGATGAAATCTCGGATTATTCTGTATTTTAGTGACAAACTTCTGAGCTCAGAGATTCTGAACTCACCTTCTTGTGGCTCTTGAGCACAGATGGCGTGACGAAGGCCTTCTCACACAGGTCACACTTGTACTTCTTGTGGCCATCGTGTACGACCTGGATGTGCACGTTGAGTGTGTCCTTGCGCTTGAAGGTGGCGTCACACTGGTCGCACTTAAACGTTCTCTCACCTGGACGGAGAAGAGCAGAAAAGGCACATGATTGCAGTCATAGCGATTCAAGCATCCCATTCTAACGTCACACAACCGGACTCCCTGAGACGCCAAACTTTAGAAAAATGTCCACGGCCCTTTTAAAAGCGCAGCTTAACAGGGACTCTCTTTGTGTCCAAACCCACTTTTGCTGCCCTCAGAGTCAAAATTGTTCAACTATTCTTTTATGTGCCACTTTTTGCTTTAGAAGAAAAGGATGTCAACCCTCTGTTTCATGTTGTTTTGAAAGATGGAATGATAAAAAAATCAGGTAGGAAAAGAGGTGAAATGTTTATCTCTCACAGTTCTTTTCAGAAGAAGGCAGTCTGTTGCTCTTCCAAAGCTTTCTTCAAATAGTACATACAGTATTGTGCTGTAAAAAAAAAACTAACTTCTGCTCAAACAATGCAAATACGCAGAGGCTGTGCCAAATATAAACGGTTGAATCGAGTCCAACACGTCACCGCATCTAATCAGAACAGACTGAATGCTGGGTTATAAAAACCTGGACTATTGAGAGACTAGCTTGTATTCTTTGCCTAAGCATTAACAGCATTCTGCATGAAAACATTTTTGGTAGCTGGTCCAAAATCCTATATCAGATATGTTCCCACTGACTGTGACTGGCTTCAGTGAAAGAATCATTCAATAATCAATCAACATGAAGTGGCATTCATAATCCATTTTGCTTCTATGTGAAACAAAATCCAAAAATAACAATGTAAGATGAGTCTTGATTTTATCTTCTCATTGATTGGATTGTGAAAAGTGGGCAGAATGGAGTCAGATCTAAATGTGAGTTTGCAGTACATTGTGTTTTTGTATTCACCACCATTACTTTGCTCTGCTGATAGTCATAGGTGAGCAGAAAAGTCACGTGACTGAAACAGATGCATATAATGCACATTCAAACATTTCGGTTGGGAAGATTTTTTTGGTAACACTTTACAATAATAATGTTAGTTCATGTTAGCTCAGGTCAGTTAAATAACATTAACAGATGCTACTTTTGATTTTAATAGTTTGTAAATGTTGAAAAATGAATTAAACTAATAATAAATGCTTTAGAAGTATTTTTTTCATTATTGATTTATGTTAACTAATGCAGTTAACTAATGTTAATATAGTAAAAAAATATTAGTTTAAAATTACTGTTTTTATATTTTAATAAAATGCAATGCAAAGCTCATCATTACTCCAGTCTTCAGTGTCACACGATCCTTGAGAAATCATTCTAATATGTTGATTTGCTGCTCAAGAAACATTTCTGGTGAAGGTTTCAGTAATGAATCAACAACAACACGAAACACCATTCATGACCCATTAAACTTCCATATTGTGACATATCTTGGTGCCTCGTTCAGTAAAGGTTGGTGTTACTTTTTCAGACTTATGATTGTCACTGATAAACGATATTGACTTGTATGAGCCACCTATTAATCACCCACAACACCCTAGAAACCACAGAGCAATACACGGGCAAAGACCTAGAACAGTGGTTTTCAACTCAGTGGACCATAAATATGGGTGTAGAGGTTAGTGGAAAATAAATAAATATTGTGCACTTAAAGTGATAGTTCAACAAAAAAATTAAAATTCTGTTATCATTTACTCACCTTCCCGTAGTTCCAAACCTGTAAGACTTTCATTTATCTTCAAAACGCAAATTAAGATATTTAATCAAACCTGACAGATTCCTGTCGCTCCGCTGTAAGTCCGCTTACCCAAAATGTTGACACTTCAGAAAGTTCATGAAGACCATTTAAATGCAATCCATACGAATCCAACAGTTTAATAAAAGTCACTTTCTCTTTATATGATGAGCAGATTTAATTTAGGCAGTCTGATCAACACATACATAGAGCACATCAAATATGGTAAACAGAAGCTCAAAGTTTTCATTTATTGTTGATTAGAGTCATTTATTAGGAAAGTAAATGTTGCCTTATCCCTCTAGTTTTCAGTGTTGCTTTCTGTGTTCTTTTCTCTCTTTCACACACTCTCTGTGTTCAGAGCTGTGTGGAGTTTTGGGGTTAATGTAATCTGCCGGGTGTAAAGGTCAGGGGTCGTGCGGGGTCACTACAGGTCAGGGTTAGGCTGAAGGTTTTGATTAGGCTCCACAGTGGCTGATTGGGCTTCAGATCTCCATTAAGATAAGATGCCAGCAGTTTATTTGGCCAAAAATCTGTCGGCTCGATCTGTCCGTCCAACCATATGTCGTCCCTGTTTAATTCTGCCGCTCTGCCTGACTTTGAACTGGAACAAACGAAGGTCTCTCAAGACATCAAGAACAAACACACACACTGACTGGTACCTTTTTGTGGTTCTTGTAGACATTGCGGTGGGCAAACTCCTTCCAGCACAGCTTACACTTGTACGGTTTATCCTCACTGTGGATGATCTTGTGAGCCGTGGCCTGATCCAGACGCTTGAAACTTCGGCTGCAGATGTCACAGGTGTACGGACGCTTTTCTACACACACATCACAAATACAACATCTTAGTAAACTAGCTTTTGCTTTAGTGTTGCTGGTGTAATTACATTACTTGTATGTAGTGTGTGTTGTCTACCAGAGTGTGTGATCATGTGTCGCTTCAACTGATTCGTGGAGATGAACTTCTTATCACAGTCAGTACAGTCAAATATCTCATGAACCTGAAAACACAGCAGAAAAATCTATTTTGTAAGTACAAAACAATACAGTGAAAGATTAAAAAAGAAAACAAAATTCTGTCATCATATACTCACCCTCATGTCGCTTCAAACATTTATGACTTTCCTTCTTTTGCGAAACACAAAAGACGACATTTTGAACCAAACAATTTTGGTTACCGTTCAATTCCATTGTATGGAACTAAAACACGTTTCTCACAAATCCTTTGTTTGAAATGACATGAGGGCCCTTTGAGGGCTTAAAACAATAACTTTCAAACAGTGAACTCTCAGTGTCACCAATTGTGTTTAGTAACCACAAAGTACAACACACTGACAGACCAGATCAGAATCGAGCGCTCTGTGTATGAACGTAATGATCAGAACACATCTGAGGTCTTTTAATGGACCGTTGAGGGTGATTGTTGAACTCTTGGGTGGGATTTAGTTGCCTGTTCTTGGTGTGACCTTGAAAATATCCTTAACCCAACTCACAGAGGACAACACACACACACACACACACGGACAGATGGAAATGTAATTAAACTTCTGAGCGGTTTTGAATAACTCCGCTGCTAAACACAATTCTGCTCTTCAGCTGACAAAAGTTCACATTTCAGTCTGTCTGAACATTTCAGTCCGACTTCTCGCAGGGAATCAGGAGGTACAAATTACTGTGAACTCCAGCCAGTCAGTTTCCGTTGAAAATTATAAACGGTCAATAATAAAACTGTCACATTTTCTCTGCTACTTCATCCAGTATGATGAAAACAAGGCGCCACATGTGTCACAGTGCTTGATGTAAAACCAGTGTTGAAGTACTTTGAAACACTATCTTTCCGAGCTACAAGCTTCTAAAAAATGTAGTTTATCTACTTTAAGTTATTAGAAATTTGTAGCTACTAACTCTTTTGAAGTGTAGTTGGCTGCACTACAAACTACTAACATAAAGCCACCTACATTGAAGCCATTTAAAGAGGCAGCAGCAACCTTAACATCAAGCGTGAACATTAGTATACTAAAGTAAATATAGATAAAAAATTGTTACATGCTGTAATGAACACTATTGAGTGATGACTCAAATGAACAATCATTTTAGAACTTTAAGAATGAGCCGATTCAATGAACTTCAATAACTTGAGCATTCTGGGAGCGTGTGCAATTGTTTTCTTGTTTCAAGCTTTGTGCACAATGCAATGTAATATAAAAAACAGTCATGTTCTCACAAACTTTCCCACTACAGGTTGTTACTGTAAAAGCTGTGATACATGAAATTGTCTGAGCTACTGCTAGTGCAATTAGTAGCATTGTAGCACTGTATAAAATAGTGTTGACAGTCCAGCTCAAATTGCACTGTTGAAACTATGTAGTGGTTTTACACAAAGTAATTGTCGAATTAAACACTCACTCAAGTTTTATACAACTGTGAATAATCTGTCGCTGTCAACTATAAATCTGAGGGATTTTTCCAGTGGTATTTTATTGCCCTTTTTGCAGTGATGGCTCCTTAAAATTTGTGTTTTGAACAAACAGAAATGTTATGGGTTTGGACTGGTCCATCTTACCCGACGCTACAGTGAACATCTGATTTTGTATAGTCATTTAATTTGAAATGTCACTCTATTAAAGCACTGAAACTCGTTACTAAGATCTCTTTGTGTCTTTAAATACTGAGAGCAGAGCAACAAGCTCTGAAGGCTTAGTTTTCTGTGAAATGCTGGGCACTTGTAATCTTCTCATGCCAGTTTATGAATGTATAAAGAAACTGTCTGCATGTGGAAGAGACTCTACAGAGTCTTTCAAGTCTCCACTCACACAGAGCAAATCATATTCGCAGGCTTTCCAACGAACGACCTGCAGTCGGATGGACACGGTCTGGTGCAAAAACGAAGACTTGACATCTATTACACAGACAAAGATGGAGATGGATGGAAAGCCAGGAAAAAGGTCAATGAGTTGAGAAAGGTACATGTGTTATGAATGCATACATTACCTAAAGCGTTAACAGATCAGATTCCCAACTAACTTTCTTTTGATAAAGAATAAAGGTTATACTAAATGGACAGATATAATTCAACCTACTGCAACATCGATATTACGTACGTACACACTGCGCATTTCGCGGCAGTTTCAAAGTGAAATGTCCAATAAATGGCACTAAAACACACATGTATTACTTGACTGTGGCCACTTTTTTATTACTCTGCTTCAGGCACGTATTTCGGCGGTTCAAAATTCAAATATCCGAGACGGGAAGTGTTGCTAAAAGGCTAATGGTGTGTGCACACCAAAAGCGAAGTGATTATTCGCATCACGTTATCGCTCTAGATTACTCATTTTTCGTGTCACTTGCGCAAATCATTGTGTAATGCTTTCCTTAATTTTCTGATACAACCGGACGTGTCACACTGGACGTGTCATTAAGCTCTTCGCTGATTGGCTTGCGTGACAACGCGTCATGCAAATTTTCTGCTTGTGTTGAAAATGTTTAACTTGTGCGGAAGATGCGATTGAGGCGTTTATCGTGTGGTCGCGGCAATCACATCGCCAAATTCATGTCATTCACTTCTCCTGGTGCGAATTTGCGTCTTTGGATTGACTTTGTATATAATCTACTCAAGCAAAAAATTACATTTGCTTTTGGTGTGCACACACCATAATGCTCTATCGTGTTGGAAAACAACATACCGCCTACACCAAACCCAACCCTGAACCTACCCAATAGTGTTGACGAATGCTATAAAAACACATTCGCTGTTGCAACTGTGGTATTTTAATTTACTTGTATGTGGGTTTGAGCTGTTTTGTCGACCCATAGTTTCATGTGATTCATATCGGAGCGCTTCTACTCACAAGAGCAATGCCGTATGGTGTGAGCTAACGAGCAAACCTACTGCGTTAGAAAATCCATACACATGAAGCTGTATATGTGATGCTAACATTGAAAAGTGTCAACTCTCACAGCATGTTAAAATTGTTTTGAAGTCAAAACATATTGTGCAATGAATTGTGTGAAAATTAGGCTTGTTTAATCGGAACTCTCGCAGTGTAAATCATAATTTGTGAGAAAGCTAATTAAAATTAACAGTTTTACTGCCTCTAGTGTTCATTTCAACTAGAAACTGCAGTGATTCGTATGTATAGGTATGTTTTTTGGGCACGTATTTCCAGTGAGCCTGGGCAGAAATATTATAAAAACATTCTAAAATAGCATAATATTAATGTCACGTGTATATTCCCGTTTAGTTCCTGTTCTCCTTATTTGGTCCTTCCTGTTCCTGTCCTCGTTGTATGAATTTGGTTCCAGCTGTGTTTGTTTAATTAGTTAATTTCCTCCCAGGTGTGTCCCATTGGTGTCTGTGTATTTATAGTGAGTCCCGTTCCGAGTTTCTTTGTCCGGAATTGTTTATGTCCCCTCCTTGTGCTATGTGTGATTCCCTGAAGAAGAATATTAAACTCCTTTGTTTTGTACTCCTGGTCTCCTCATTCCTCGCTCGGTGCTCCTCACAGTAGCAACCCGTGACAGAATTCCGGACCACACAAAAAGTGAGCGGCAACTTTTCCTCGCGTTTGTTTTTTCAGCCTGTTTGAAAAGTTTTTTTGTTTTCTCCGTGGCTATGGAAATTGCTGCTCGGTTCTCCGCCTTAGCTCGCCTAGATCTCCCCTTTGTCGAGTATTCCTGTGAGTTCTGCAGGCTTGCCGTGGCTACGGCCCTCGATGACGCCACCATTAATTCTCTGCTCTGGCTCGGGGCCAACTACCATCGCCCCGTGGACCTCCCAGACACCACGGGACTGAACTGGAGGGAAGGAATCCTCCTGTGTCTGGAGAGCATCCTGCCCCGAGCCAGAACCAGCCCGCCATCCGCGGCCTACTCTAGTTCACCGGCCGTTAATATGGCAAACCCAACGAACTTTAATATGGCAAGCCTGCCATGCGTTCATGAAGCCCCAGTGTCGGTGCCAGCCCCAGTGCCTGCTCCTCGTAAGTGCCTTCCAGAGCTCCAGTGTCGGCTCCAGCACCCGGAGCTCGCTTCAGTGTCTGCTCCAATCTCAAAACTCACTCCAGTGCCAGCTCCTCGAAAGCACTTTGCTGTGCCTGCTCCTCCAGAGCACCCTCCAGTGCCAGCAACATGTAAGTGCTTCCCTGATCCCCAGTTCAGCCCATGAAGGGCTCCTGATCCCGAGTTAAGCCCAGGAAGGGTTCCTGATCCCGAGTTCAGCCCAGGAAGGGCTCCTGTTCCCGCGCATAGCCCACGGAGGGCTCCTGATCCTGAGTTAAGCCCAGGGAGGGCTCCTGTTTCCCCGTTAAGCCCAGGGAGGGCTCCTGATCCCCAGTTCAGCCCAGTGAGGGCTCCTGATTACCCAGTCAAGCCCAGGGAGGGCTCCTGATTACCCAGTCAAGCCCAGGGAGGGCTCCTGATTACCCAGTCAAGCCCAGGAGGGCTCCTGATTACCCAGTCAAGCCCAGGGAGGGCTCCTGAGCCCCAGTCAAGCCCAGGGAGGGCTCCAGCCCCGGAGCTCGCTCCAGTGCCGGCTCCAGCCTCGGAGCTCGCTCCAGTGTCGGCTCCAGCCCCGGCGCTCACTCCAGTGCCGGCTCCAGCCCCGGCGCTCGCTCCAGTGCCGGCTCCAGCCCCTGAGCTCGCTCCAGTGCCCGCTCCTTGTGAGCGCTTTCTAGAGTGCCATCTAGTGCCCGCTCCTCCAGAGCGCCCCCCAGGATTCCTAGATTTCCCCAAGAAAATTTAGGGGGAGGGGGGGTTGATATATATATACCCGTGGCCGAGCCATTTAAGACCACGGAGGATCCGCCATGGCCTTCTGAGTCCCCTGCTCCGCCATGGCCTCCTGAGTCCCCTGATCCGCCATGGCCTCTTGAGTCCCCTGCTCCGCCATGGCCTTTTGAGTCCCCTGATCTGCCATGGCCTCCTGAGTCCCCTGCTTCGCCATGGCTCCCTGATCCGCCCTGGAGGCGCTCCTTGTCTCTTCCCTGTTCCAGTCCTGCAC